CGAGCGCGGATGATCGGCTTACAGTAAAAAGAAGCACCTTGTACGTTGTCCCTGTTCCATCTATTAATGATTTTCGCACTTCCTCGTTAGCTGTTTAGAAATGTACACATCTCTGTTGCCAGTCCCACATTTTTTTTGGCTTTAAGTTACTACTTTTCTTATAATCATTGAAAACTATAATTACTAAATAAATAATTATTGCTTATTTTTCTCATTTTTCTCAATTTTATTTATTATGTGTTCTTACCTACACTATAAAATGGTGTTCCGTGAAAATTTCAGGATTTACGTAATCTTCCATTGCCGGAACAGTTTGGGAAATGTTGACATAATACATACGATTTTGGTAGACCGCTGTCTATAATTGAAAAAAAAACAGGTCGCCCTTAGTGATCAAAAGTTTGGACATCCCTGATATATATAACTTAATAGTTATATGCGTCGATCTGTTAATGTAATCTTAGGAGTATATTTGTCGATTTAGGATTCATCCCAACATGGAAATACCATTTACCTCCTAGCTTATTTTCCCTTTTTCGATGTAAACCGATTTCTTCGTTTTCGTTCGAGTAGCCTTTGGAGATCGAACCATTTGAATCACGGACTCCAATTTAGTGCCTGTAAATGTTAAATTTGCTGGAAATGGTGCGCGTTCCGTACGTGTTCCAACATCTAAGCCTGTCTTACGCGATCAGATTACGCCTTTGGTATTAAGGTTGGCTGGCGGTTTTGCGGGAGAAGGCTGGAAATGACGGCGGCTGCGACTAGCACATACACAATGCCACCAGATTCCCAAAAAGCTCCTTATATTATTACTTCACCCTCACTGTTTACGCACGCACCCGGCAAGAAGAAAAGATGACGAACACGAGGAGAACGAAAATAAAAAGAGAAAAAATAAACTATAATGAATTTCGCTGAACAGTATAAATTATTCAAGAGGACTACGTGCTCTAGTGTATACATACATATATGGTTTTGTTTAATATTTAAAAGGACCTTCTTTGCCTTGCCACGCGTTTTACTCCAGTTTTCTTTCCACAGAAATCCGAAGGAAAATACGCATCACAAACGTCGAGTAAAAAGCGATGCCTTCGGTTATTCATGCTATTCGCCTACACATTTTCATTTTTGCATGCATCTTAAATCTATTGTATATAAATACGAGATGTTACATCGATAAACAAACTTCTTACAATAGCATTTTCTCAATTGAACTGCGAAAGCAAATATTAATGCTAGAATCTACCGTTTTATATCCATACAAGAGCTTAAATAATCTGATTGCAAGATTCTCACATTTCTGTTAACATTAAATATTATAGAACGAGTAGTAACATTACAGTTTTAAATTTACATAATTTGAAAACCGGGGCTTTCCAACTATAGAAAAAATTGATTTTTGAGCTCAAAATCGTCTTAGGGAGATTTGTAAATTAATACTTTTTTTAAGGAGAAAATCAATAAAAACACAATAAATTCTATGAAATTAAATTAAATATATTTTTCTACTATATCTATGACTATAATGCACGCGGGAAAACAATTGACGTTATTTAAACAAATATACAAATAGTTGAACAATATTTTAAAATTGAAGAAAAACAAATTTTTTAATTTATGTACTTATTAAGTGCACAAATCTATAATATGAGAATTATTTAAATTCAGATACAAAAATGTTTCTATATTCATTGGTTTACTAAATTTGATGATTTTTTTTAATCAATTTGTTGAGTTTCTGTATGATTTCAATGTTAGCATGAGAATCAATACTAATTTACATAGGGTCTAATTAATTAGTGCTTCCGGTTTTTTTAATTACTAACTAACGAGATTAATGATTCCCATAAGCTATGGTTAGAGTGGGCAGAACTGGTCACGCGTTATTAATTAACGTCACTTATTATAGGTAATTATTTGCGTTCGCATTCTAATGAACAATTAGCTGTAGGAATTTTGTTACTCAAATGATATATGTTTTAGGAAGAAGATGCGTTAATCTGTTATGCAGATTAGATGTTTGTGTTTCGAGAATTATTTATGTCCGAATTTTAATTACAGAAAGGATCACGCCATCCGGATTACCGGACTTGTTCAATATTCATGTGCTTCAAAAAAATGACTGCGTACATATGCAAATATTTGAACCGTTCAAAGATATCAATTACAATGCCTTCTCTTCGATAATATTAATTAAAACGTACATGTATTACGTTTATCTTTCGTTTGGAGATAACTGCGGGACACCACACTTTTTATCCGCAAAAATTTCGGAAGGGATGAAAAACGAAAGAAGAGAAGAATAAAAGGGGGTATTTGGAAAGGCCGGTTTTGGGCGTATCGTAAAGCATTCCTGATAGGTCGGTCAGTCGACAAAGGACTGCTGCAGTCTGGGTCCCCCTTTCCAACCCCAATTAAGGATCAAAGCGAAGGAATATAAGACGAAAATACAAAAGGTTATTCGACTGGGATTGACGCGTCGATGGCGGAAAAATAACAATCGGATATATATAGTTAGGTGTGTATATAAGAGTGTACTTGAAGGAAGGATATCGACAATAGCTCGAACTCAGGATGTAATACTTCAAATACTAATTGAGAAACTTGACTGTACTGCACAAATCCTTTCTCAGAAATGTTATATAACCTGGCAGTGCTTGAGACTTCTACTTGAAGTAAATTATTTAAGAAATAATTCATATTTCAGCCAATAAAATCATTTAAAACAGTATAATTCATAACATTTTTTTCTGCAAAGGACATCAAAAAAACATGTGAATTCTGAGGGCCTCCGACATTCTTCCGATGTAGGCCCCACAATTCATACATTAAGTGTCGCATTTCATATTTATTTTCGGAACCTCAAAATTCAAATGACTGCTCTGCAAAGGACATAAAATAAAACATGTGAATTCTGAGGGCCCCCGACATTCTTCCGATGTAGACCCCACAACTCATGCATTAATTGCCGCATTTCATATTTATTTCCGGGACCTCAAAATTAAAATGACTGTTCTGCAAAGGACATCAAATAAAACATGTGAATTCTGAGGGCCTCCGACATTCTTCCGATGTAGGCCCCACAATTCATGCTTTAAGGACCGCATTTTATATTTATTCCTGGGACCTGAAAATTCAAATTAATGCTCTGTAAAGGACATCAAATAAAACATGTGAATTCTGAGGCTCCCGACATTCTTCGGATGTAGGCCCCACAATTCATGCAGTAAGTGCCGAATTTCATATTTATTCCCGGGACCTCAAAATTCAAATGACTGTTCTGCAAAGGATATCAAATAAAACATGTGAATTCTGAGGGCCTCCGACATTCTTCCGATGTAGGCCCCACAATTCATGCAGTAAGTGCGCCGCATATCATATTTATTCCCGGGACCTCAAAATTCAAATGACTGCTCTGTAAATGACATCAAATAAAACATGTGAATTCTGAGGGCCCTTAACACTTTTCCGATGTAGGCCCCACAACTCATGCATTAAGGGCCGTATTTCATATTTATTCCCATGACCCCAAAATTCAAATGACTACTCTGCAAAGGACATTCTTCCAAAGTAGGCCCCACAACTCATGCATTAAGTGCGCCGCATATCATATTTATTCCCGGGACCTCAAAATTCAAATGACTGCTCTGTAAATGACATCAAATAAAACATGTGAATTCTGAGGACCCTCGACACTTTTCCGATGTAGGCCCCACAACTCATGCATTAAGAACCGCATTTCATATTTATTCCCGGGACCTCAAAATTCAAATGACTGCTCTGCAAAGGACATCAAATAAAAAATGTGATTTCTGAGGGCCCCCGGACATTTTTACGTTTGACCGGTTGTAGCGACACTAATGGTAAAATGTAATACGAATATAATATTTGCACAAAAGTTGCCAATTTTTAATCCAAGATTAAAGACCAACTGTTTTCAAAATATTATATTTTTTCAATAAAATCTGTAGGTTTCGGTCTCAGCCACCCGGATATTATCGATCGTAACCGGGATGATTATGCAAAACGCACTAATTTTTTCATATTCTAATTACCGTCGGCGAAGTTCCGTTTGAACGTACACTTTTTCTTTCTCCCCCTTTTTCTCACTCGCAACTTCTCTCCCTCGACCCGACGAGAAGCGAAAGTTTATCGGCGGCCAGAGTGAATAATTAATTTTAATATGCAAGATCAATTTGGCTTGATTAAAGAAATACGATGCTGAAATATTTACAAGATTTTCGCGTAAATATCAGCAAAAGTTTTGTTTTTTTTTTCTAATCACAATCTACCTACTTTTTATTCTTGTTTTAATCTTATCACAAAGTGAAATAAATAGAAAATTTTAGTTACTTAACGAAACGGTATAAAACAATAATTAAACATTAAAGCTTACAAACTAATTTACTATATCCAATCAAAAAATACAATAATTACTAGTTATCTAAAAAAAATAACTTTAGAAAACAAGATTATAAAATACTATCAAAACATTAATTATTTTGACAGTATTTTATTTTTATTAATAATTTGTTTTGTATGAGTTTTATAATAAGCATAGATATAATTATGTAATCACTTTCGCAGAGTTACTGTGGACGGCGTTAATTAGCTAATTAATTGGGCATTTAGGATATGCAATGTTAATTATCGTCTCGAGATTATGATTTTCGTTGCGTTACAAAGGGCTTGTACGTACTTTAAATATAATTCTGTTGGTGCTGCATCTCTTTGGGACTTGAGTAGGAATTAATTAAGGCCGAATTTAAATTAAATTTAAAACAAGAACTTTCTGTCTCTCTCTCACTTCGTCTCAATAAGGAAACCATTGTTTATTGTACGAGCTTAGAACCTTTGCGAGGGTATACATATATTAAGAGGGAACGGCGGTCGCAAAGTGCGGGCATCCATCTGTAGAGGCGGCATGGGTGGATTTATGTTTAGATAAAATATAAGGAAAGATGCGGCCGTACGCGTGTATGGATTTATATCCGTGGGAAGGACATTAAAAGTTTCGGTGCCTTTCGTGTAAATAGAAAACTTTTGCTCATCCCAAGGGTGTCCAGGGTGTCCCAGACGCGGTCCTCTCCGCCCTTCGAAACCTGCAGGTTTATATCCCCAGCACAGACTTTACAAACTTAAAAAAAAACGACTTCTCCAGAGGTGCGGAGGCTCCACCTTTACCACATCATAAATTCGTTCGGCTTACATCGATTTTATTCTTCTCCAAATCTTCCACATATAGAAAGTCCCAGAAAAATATATACATTGTTTAACGAGTCATAACTTTCTGATTTTTCTTTCATTTCAGGATGTAATTAATTGGAAATAATGAGCGAATGAGCGATAATCATCTATTGAAAAATGAAAATGCTATTGGAAGTACGAAAATGTAGTAGAAGTACAGTAACGCAGAGAGTTTCAGGTTGATAAAAGATGAGTTTGAAACGAATGGAACTTTTCAGGATGTTCATAGACAATGTTCCGGAAGACCAAGAACATCAACGAGCTTCACCAGTAAAGAAAGTATATTGGAAAGTTATTGCTAAATATCCAAAAAATCTGTAAGACAAACAAATCGTGAGATTGGAATCAGCAAATCAAGTGTCCATCGCTTTTTTGTAAATGGACAAGATACAAGCTATCAATGAAGATGATCCGGATGGGAATAATACTTGAAAAAATGTATACAAGATGCACAGCTTTCAGAGAAAATTGTTTGGATAGATAAAGCTACATTGAGTGAGGATACCTAAAAGCTAAAGTCTATGCCAGAAAACCTACGATACTACAAGAATTAGAGCCTCAATTGAGAAAGAATGCGCCACAACACCAAATGTTTGTTAAATTTTTTGAATCAATAGCCCACAGTAGGAGGAAAAGTATGCAGATCCTGAAGTTTTTGGGACATTCTAAGCGGAAAATGAAAGTCGACTTTGATTTCTACTAATTTTGAGTTTCTTATATTCGTTTAACACCAAAATACGAAATAATCTGATTGTTACTAACTTTCAGTTTTACATCTGTATAATAAAATACAAATTCTTTTGTAATGGAGTTTGTAATCAATTGATTTATGTATGTTTGTTCCATCTTTTCATACATTCAGGAATGAAATTTGCATCACAAGCACCAATTACAAGGACGGCGCGTTTTATCATTTTCTTGTTTATTTTTCTTTTTTGGCCACACTCGACCGGAGCGATTTTAAATGAAGGTACTCCTCTCAAGATTTAATTAGTTTTTCCTCTGGGTTTTCTCTCAGACGCTGCCAGCGGAAAATTCAATGACTTGTTGAGGTAATTTATTATATGTTTCATATATACACGGAGAAAAAGAACACTGTTCGGCCTCCCCGACCGTGACTATAACATAATCAGTTAGAAACCCTTCGCTAGCAGCGCTCAAGAAAGAAAGAACTAATTTAAAAAAAAAATAACGAAAAGAAGAAAAGAAAATATAAAGAAATTTCTCTATAAAAGCTCGAAGTGTATAATAAAATTGTTATAATTATATATAAAATGATAATTAGGAATAAATAATAAATGTATCCCAAATAAGTAATTTTCATTCAACTTTATTAAATTTAGAACACGATTTTCGCAAAGAATTAACAAAAGTGTGTATATTTATGATCTAATACTTGAATGTGAAATAAGACTGGAATATTTAAAATGTATACTTTGAATGGTTTAATGATTTACAGAATGGTTATTTTATATAAAATATGTATAATATATGGGCGTAATGTATGTATGTTAATCATTTATAAAATACGCTTCGATAAATAACTGTATAAAATCGATGGAACATTAAGCGTGATGCATTATGTCCATATATCCTTACACAGATTACGCCATCAATTTTCTTTAGTATAATATGTAATGGATATAGTTCTACGTTGAAAGATTATTTATTTAATAAATGCATATAACAAATTAGTATATTTATTTCTATACTATTTAAATTATATTAATCCAATCAAAACAATTTGTTTCCCAAAATGGACCACATAA